GGCGGCGGCGCCTGGCGCGTGCGCACGTCGGCGGAGCGCCCGCGCGACGTCAGGCGCAGCGCGCCGCCGCGCCCCGCCACCACCACCACGGTGAACGTGTACACGCTGTGCGGCCGCAGGGCCTCCACCTGCGCCCACCGACCTCGTCAGACAGTACAAGAGGGGATCGGTTCACGCACAGATTACCTCTAAGCACTATTGGCACATGTACTTTTAGCTGATATGCCAGTGTGAACGTGTCAAGCCTTAGATTACAAATATGTCTTGATAGAGCGTCACCATACACTTGTGGTTTACACGGTGCAAAAATAATAACAGCTACGACAAAAATTCTCCCATCAAAATATCTCCCATAAATATTTGAGTACATGTACCAGACCATTATTAGAAGTAAAGTAAAAAAATGTAACCATCTCTTTGAATTTGCTTTTAATTTTTTTTTTGACACTTCGTTGATATTTATATCTTGTCTTAAAGATAATATATTTTCCGTATGAAAACAATCATTAAATATTCATATTAAAATTTTTTTAACATTATTTCTATAAAACTAATTAATAAAACATTATTGTATCCTTTCCATCCAAAAATATAACTAAATCGATTCAATCGTTTCAAAATAATTGTCGAAAATCGAAACGAACCTTCTTTTTTAGTCGCTTAGAATAAATAGTACATTAAAGCGTAGTAAGTTCAGTTCAATAAATTATTATTTTATTTTTAATTCACAAGCAAGTGACATTTTTTTAACATTTTTGCCTTCTTTAACATTTTAGATTCATCAGAAATATTGAATATTGAAAAATGAATTGCACTGATGAAATATGCGGCAATTAGTTAGGTCAAAAACATAAATTGAATAATACAATTTTTAATTCATTAGCAATTGATAAGTGATCTGTTTATTACTTTTAACCGTCATTTATAATTTTAGTTCAATTTTATGGAGCATGTGGCCATCTTTGCAGTGTACTTTACGTTTCGTTACAAATTTATTTTGTACATGCATGCACGTAGTGACGCCTAGGTGACACGATTGGTACTACTTGACGGGAAAGTGCATTGCAGTGAACAGTTGACTGCAAATTTTTGTTACGCTTTTCGTGAACTGACATTCCACCCAGACATTATGTAATCAATCGTGCATGGATTGCATATCCCATCACATATTTTGTAAATAGCATTAGTCACGGCGACAGGTGAAGCTCGAGCAGGAACGACTGTGAAAAGACGAGTGTAAAGTTAGCGCAGCCCGACCTTGATGCCGAGCTCCTCCGTGGTGAGCGTCTGCAACTGGTCCACGTCGGTGAGGTACTGGACCTCGAAGTCCGTGTAGTCGCCCACCGGCTTGTCCCACGCCAGCGTTATCTCACGAGCGCCGATCTCCGTCGCGTTCAGCTGCGTTATGGGCCGGGGAACTGTCGATACAAGAACAATTATGGCCGACTCAACGCAGCGACGCGCGGGTGAGCAGTAGCGTGCAGGTATAGTTACAGAGTCGCGCCTGGCGCTGCACGGGGTGCGAGGTGACGTTGTGGGAGACGGTCCACATGGTGACGTTGTAGAGGCGGCCCGGCACGAGCCCCGAGAACTCCACGGCCTGGCCCTCTGCGTCGGCGGGCCGCGTGCTCCAGCGCGGCTCGGCGCCGGCGCCCTCCAGCTGGAACCGGTACGAGTCGAACTGCGACGCGGAGCCCGGCGTACGCGTGTAGATCACTTTCTGGAAAACGACGGATCTGCCATTACACACTATACACCGCCCTAGATACTTCAGAATTGACAGAAAAAATGTAACCTATTCGGAAACAATATGGCAGCGAAAATTAATCATTGACCCGCGCACATACAGGTGTAAACGGAACGCTCCCGAAAAACATCGACAGGTTTTATTTTCACATAAAAGTAAAGATTGAACTGTTTCTTTTATGTCATAATATTTGTAGTGCACTGCTCGACGCTGACGATGCATGAATAACATGAAAACAAAAACGATTGAAATTGTCAAAACTATTTCTTTTTGTCAGCGTGTCGGGAGCGTTCCGTTAAAACCCTGTATATGTTCCAACTCACTTGTTACTACTGACTGACTGACTGACTGACTGACTGACTGATTATGTTTATTTTTTTTTTGTGGGTTAAAATCATCCAATGCTCCCGCCTGGGTGAGGCGAGAGGGAGTGTCAGAATCTTACTGACTAAAAACCACCCTGTTCGTAGAAACAGGAGTAGTCCTGCACTTCGAGCTGGAGCCCCGGCAACCCGTTAAAGCTTCCCGGGGTCCGTCTCGGCATCAACCTTATTGGGCACCTTCTATGGTGGTGTGATGGCTCTTTGGGGTGTGCGTGGAACGCTCGGCGCCGCTCGCTCGGGTCTGGTCGTGGTCGGGCGGCGAGCCACGCGTGCTTGCGTTGGCCGGAGGTCGGCTCACCATCCGCGATGCCAGGAGTGTCTCTCGCGACGGCTGGGGCATGAGGAGCTAACATGACTAGTTCGCAGAAGGAGGAGACGACGTCCTAGTCCCCTTTGCTCCGTACCATGGTCTGAGCCAGAGCCGGACGCGAGAGGTCGCCGTCGCCGATCACATCCCTATGGACACGACGGTGGTCAGCCCACGCAGGGCACACCACGACCGTTTGCTCCGCTGTGTACTCCGGCAGTTTTTTTTTTTTTTTTTATGGAATAGGAGGCAAACGAGCAGACGGATCACCTGATGGTAAGCGATCAGCGCCGCCCATGGACACCCGCAACACCAGAAGAGTCACAGGTGCGTTGCCGGCCCTTTAAAAAGGAGTACGCTCTTCTCTTGAAGGTTTGAAGGTCGTATCGGTTCGGAAATACCGCCGACGACAGATCATTCCACAGTTTTGCTGTGCGAGGCAGGAAGCTACGTGAGAACCGCACAGTTGTGGCCTGCCAACCATCTATATGATGGGGATGCATATGCTGTCGTGAGGGTCGATGGCGAAAAGATGCGGCAGGTATCAGGTCAAACAATTCCTCAGAGCACTCCCCGTGGTATAAGCGGTAGAAAATGCACAATGAAGCTACATCTCTACGCATTGCCAAAGTGTCGAGCCGGTTTGAAACATCCGGACATCCAACAATCCGAACGGCACGCCGCTGAATGCGGTCCAGAGGAAGAAGTTGGTACTGGGGTGCCCCCGCCCAAAGATGAGAACAGTATTCCATGTGGGGCCGCACCTGTGCCTTGTATAGAAGCAGGCGGTGGGTCGGGGTGAAATACTGCCTCGATCTATTGAGCACACCAAGCTTCCTCGAGGCTAATTTGGCCTTATCCTCTAAATGACCGCAGAACTGGACGTCGCTCGAAATGTTGACACCAAGTCCTCGCAGTGATGATACCCGGGCGTTTCCTTTCGCCCAATCCGAAACAGGATCCTACCGAAACTTCCGTATCCAGTAAGCACCTGCGCAGGCGGTAGGTGAGGACGCCGTAAAGTTTCTCGAGCTACTCCTCAAAGAGGGGACTTATCGCTACAATGACAGCGAGCCCAGCCCTCGGTTGCGACAGTCGTTGCTGCCAGTCCGCCATGCACTAATACTGACCGACTACCCTGGGGTTGAGTCGATTCTGTTAGTGCTGAGCTGTGATTGAGCCAAGGATAATACCACAGCAAGCATACAATATTTTATCCCCATCTTAAACCTAACATTACCCCCTCTTAATTCAAGAAGTAATTGATTCCATTAATTGATTCTTCCTTTCTCACATTATGCAAGTGCGAGTAGTATAGAGGCTATGTCGCCAAATGCTCTAATTGCATAATGACAAACGTTATTTTCATATGACATCATTTCAAATAACCTAGTGTTATAAGACATAACGTTTCATATCATATAATGTTCCTATAATGTCGCGGAGAACCTAACGGGTAACCGGGGCTCCAGCTCGATGTGCAGGAGAAGGAACGGGGTGGTTTTTAGTCAGTAAGAGTCTGACACTCCCTCCCGCCTCACCTAGGCGGGAGCAGTCATTCGATGATTTTCCCCCCTTAAAAAAAAATGTTCCTATAACGTACCTACAATTTATGTAAGTTTTATGTTTGATTAGTTGACCCAGGTGTAGCAACACTATGTGTGACAATGATTGTGAGTGTGCGGGGGAATCATCATCGTACACAAAGACAATCGGCGAAGCGTCACCAATACATGGTAAATATTTCACCCACACGCACTAAGCGCTTTGCATCAAGCTGCCTCGTGCGTACCGCTAAGGAACGGAATTCTTTGCCCGAGTCTGTATTTTCTGAACGTATTCACTCGGCACGACTGCTTGCTTATGGGACGACGTGGTCCATCGTAGACCGCATCACCGCGTACCAACAGGCGAGATAGTTCGTGACATAGAGGCAGTGAGCTGCGCGACGTCGCCGCGACCGCGCACGCTGATCATGAGGAACAACCCCTCTGTGGTTCGAAACTAGTAGAACTATTCTCAGTATATTCACGTGAGTAACCCGCGATTTTAGTTAACTTAGTATGTCTCACGATAGTTATTATGAAAACATTAAAGACATTTTGTTATTATGTCGCTGTCACACTCCCAGTTACATGTAATTTTGGAACGTATGACTAATAGCCTACCGATATGTAAGACATATTTTTAGCATTCTCTATAGGTGAAAGGAGGAAATATAGGGGTTACCTGGAAAGTTGAAGAAAGGATTTTTGGAAATTGGCTACTTTGTAGATTTTCGCTCTTTTCGATTTCTATATTTTGCGATGTAGTACGTGTGCCGCTACCTTGGAAAGGTGGCGACCAAAAACAACATTTTTACAATATCATTTTTTTGCCCATTTTATGAGAAAAACTTTAAGCACAAAATTGTACTTGGTAGCTATCAACAACTGAGAGAAATAATCGCCTTTCATTCATATTGTAATTTGATTGCAATAAACTAACTACTTAGTGCAACTGGGTGAAACTTGTTTCTCTACTCTACATCAACTTCATCTTCACTACAAATCAATGTACGGAGTGAACTACTACAACTCGTACAAAATTAAACTACTCACAATTTATGTGTACACAGTTTTTTATAATACACGTAGTTATGGCGTCAAAGTATCCTATTTTTATAAGCATTTTGGAAAAAACCACGTGAAATTAGAGCCAGCGGCGCATATTTATAGTGTCGTTCTTTACAGGTGTAATGCTCATGTCATTGTGACACACACTTTACGAACTTGCCATAGTCTCCTGCCTCAAGCTACAGAATTGCCAATTTTCAAAAATACCGGAAATCATTGCAGGCAGAACATATACATACCTAATTACTGAACTATTATAGAAAGCATAAACCTAAAAATATTTAAATTGTAATAACCGCATGGTGCGGTGTGTGTGAGTGGACCGGGCGCGGACGGAGCTGTCTACCGACACCCTCACACGGACATCCTCTGAATGCCATTATTAAAGCCAAAATTATTTTGACATTCACACTTTTATCACTTTTACGGGTTCCATACATTTCCGAGTATTGTCCTTTGATGCTTCTTTGAATTTTTTTGAGTGTGTAGCAATAGCCTTACTGTTACTGCCTACATGGAACTTTACAAGAATAAAAGACACGATGACAAAGTTCACAGTAAAGCATTTATGTCAGATAAACCATTTACAGGCACATGTGAAACGTCAAAATAGACAGTCCACTCGAGATTCGAGACAGCTGTATATTTGTAATGTATAAGGAAGTGAACGGTTTGTTACGATATATGGATGATTTTAAGAAAACACAACGGATCAGAATAAATTGTGGGACAAATGTAGTAATGCGGCCGTGGCCGCTGGCAGAAGCTACAGATGCACATATTTTAAAACGGTTATTTAAGTTATACTCTACATGTAAAAAATTGTTTGCAGTAATATACATTCCGGTTAGTGACTGAACTCTACACGAAAATGTCGTTTACCTCGATTACAGTGAACGTGGAATATGGAGTGACCAACATTGATGTTTCAAGGTGTTGCTATGAAATTACTACCAAAACTGTAAATGACTTTTTGTATGCTAGTATTCATTCGTCGTCGTCAGATTTAATTAATAAAATGTCATTAGTCTTATCAACTTTAAGTGTGGGAGAGCCATGCTTCGGCACGAATGGGCCGGCTCGACCGGAGTGATACTACGGCCGAGCAGAAAACCGACGTGAAGCAACGCTTGCGATGTGTTTCGTCGTGTGAGTGACGTTACCGGAGGCCCAATTACCCTCCCCTTCCCCAATATCCCCAATTCCTGAATCCACAACGGATCGTTCAAACTCCTAATTCCCCAAAAGGACGGTAACGCACTTGTTACGCCTCTGATGTTCCAGGTGTCCATGGGCGACGCCGATTGCTTACCATCAGGTGAATGTGCCATAAAAAAACTAAACTTGTAACAAACCTAAAGCTAAAATAACCCAGGAGTATATAGTATATTTCAGATAGAAAGGGTAGTGCCATAGTGCGTTAGTTCGAAGTTTAGTGAAAAATTAAAACGATCACTAATAATAAGTTTAAGATGTGTTTTATGTTTGATATTGAACTAAAACTAAAGAGAGAAAATGTTTGTGAGGACCTGAAGAGATTTTGACATAAACTTAGAGATAAACCAGCACCACCTCATGCTAATACATTTACACATGGAAGTTCGTCTGTACAGGTATTGCTTTGTTACGAGTGTCGTGCATCGCGTGTGTTAACTGTTTGTCTCGGGCGGGCAGTACTCACGAGCGTGGTGGACGCGGTGTCGTTGTCGTCGTCGGTGCCGGGCTCGTTGACGATGGTCATCTCCGACTGGATGAGCGGACCTGCAACCCACGAGCGCAGAGTGAGCGAGCGAGCCGAGCGCGCGAGCTACAAGCCAGGCAGGTACCGACGGGTGCGCGTGTCCATGGTGAACACGTCGGAGCTGAGGTTGTAGGAGTGCGCGGCGATGGACACGCTGTAGGCGCGGCCCGGCTGCAGGCCGTCCAGCGCGGCGCGCGCGCGGGGCCCGGCGGGCGC